ATCGCATTCAAACGCCACTGCGAATGTACAAATGGAAGTAGAATGCGTGCCGCATCCCAAAAAGGGATTGATCAACGGCAAATGCTTTATCCTTTTCTTTAACACTACAATCTCTCCCACACCACCCAACATCACCCACCTGCTTTTCCTGCCCCCTCCCCTCTATTGCCGAGGAGTAGGCGAAGGGAGCGAGGGATACATGCACGATACAAAACGGAAGTTTTCGAGAATTTTTTGAATTGTAAATTACAGGGCGTGAACTTTATACACTGATGGCACATCTGAAAAATGGCTCTGAACATTTCATAACACCACCCTACCTGTCGAGCACTTTTTCAATAACTCCTGACAGCTTACTGGCTATAAATTCAAATCTTCTGCAAGTCTTAGCTCTCTAAGTTCAGAAAAACAGAACTTTGCAATGTACCCATAAGGAGGATTTTAAGTTGAAGCGCAAGACTCACTACAACATATAAAAAAGGATAAAGGATAAAGCATTTGCCGTTGATCAATCCCTTTTTGGGATGCGGCACGCATTCTACTTCCATTTGTACATTCGTAGTGGCGTTTGAATGCGATGTGGCCTATACAATGACTTGGGGGCCAGCCGATGTACAAGTCAGTGTTTTTATCCTCCCAGACAAGTCTGGTACCAATTAACCGACCCCGGAGGGATGGAAGGCTTGGTTGGCCCGGGCGACTCACGACCCAGGATTTGATCCCCGGACCGCTCGCGTGGTAAGCGCGCCACTTGTCCACTACACCACTTCCGCCCAATGATACTTCTGCGTTTTTCGCAATTTTCTTCCGTTTTTAAAGTAAAGCAAGGATAAGCACGGGAGCAGCGTAGAAGTGAAAGCATAAGGTGAAATGCACGACGTACGCAAGCGGCACACATTTGAGTAAACCGCGCTACTGTAACACTTAATGGAAGGACAGCGACGGAAAAAAAGTTAAAGAAAACTAGGTTGTATTGGAACTTACCCTTCTCAAACGACTGCAATTGTATAGATGAGTGCGAAGCTGTTGCACCAGTTCCGTAGCCATCTTGACGAGGACTTCACCTAAACTTTTCTCTCAACCCTCGATGGGTGACTGGCATCGAATAACGAATGCGGTCTGTTATAAATACGAATTGGTTCAACAATCTGAATAAATAAAGCCTCTAGATCAATTTTTTCTTGCAAAAAAAAAACATAAGGAGAAATGTACTGCATGTGTATACCTTCATACATTAGTGACCAGAACTCGCATGATGATATGAGCGAAGAAAAGAGCTAGAGATAAATAGAAGAGTGAAACACAGTCAGTGAAGCAACGACCTCCATAGGTAGACAATTTGTAGGATTCATATGGCAAGTACAATTCCACATCAAAATGCAGACAGAACAAGAACCGCGAATGTGAAGGCACAAACCTCTGTAGTCGAAAAGCATGTGAAATAAGAGAAAAACAAAACCGTGTTATAACAAAATCTCAACAAGAATCTCTAGAATTCCTGATAAAATATCGATATAGATTGGATGGCCACTTTTTCCGTCCTTGTCTCGATCAACAAGATCTTCCCACCTGAAGAGGTTCAAGTGATAGTCAGTAGGTGAACTAGGGAAGGCATTCAATTACCGACTGCAAGGACGATATTCGTCCAGGTGAACAGGTTATAGGTAACTGGCTTACAGTGGGCAAGAACGTGATGAGCCACTTGAACGACTCGTCACGAGCAGCAGAGACAACACTCATTCGTCTCTTAAGGCGCATGCATAGTCGGTCGTCCGATCGCACCGATCGTATAGGTCGTACAGCAGTGGATGCGTATCGATCGTACTTCCTCAGCATTCAACGATCGGCACTTATCTAACGCTGTGCGACCGTTACGATCGTTACGATCGGACGACCGACGATGCGTGCGCCCTTAGATGTCGGTCAGACTCGGCGAATGCATCGCGATGGACCAGTGCTGGAACGAACCGCGATCGCTCCCTTCATCGCGATGCAATCGCCTGAGGTCTGACCGACATCCTTACAGGGCACCTTCGAAGCGAATGGGCATGGAAGCCATCTCTCATAGCCAATAAGTCAGAAAAAGAACACTGAAATTGGCGAACTCAAGACTTACTGATGAATAAGCTCTGGTTCATCGAAAGTTCCATCAGGAGCTACCATGACCAGGAGTCGATAGGAAGACACGTCTTTCGAAGGATGGCCATACACCTAAATTCGGAATTTGCGTAATTTGAAACATTCAAACTGATGTAAGACTCACATATATGCTTTCATCAATAAAAAGAACTTTTATCAAGTTACTCACCCCTAAATAAGAAGGACGAGGATTTGACAAGATATCAATGTAGTCTAGACCGCATGTAGCCGATGAGGCATCATGCGTATGCAGTTCATAGGACACAGACTTGTCGGTATACGAAAAGTATATATCTGCATCACCTGAAGCGATAAAAAGTAAGTACGAAAAAAAATCTGGAAAAAAAATTGAAACGACTAGTGAGAATATGTTATGGCTTGTACAGTATATGTCAAAGTTCACCTTCTAAAGTCTGTAGCACAATCCTCATAGGATATGCAAATTTCAGCTCATAACGTGTGAAATTTCCTGGTCCCACCACACCTTCTACCGTGAAGAATTGTGGCACCTGCTTTTCCTCTTTTTCATCTGCAGACGGTGATTCGTCCTTGGAATGAACACAGTAAACCAGGAGCAGCGATACAACTGCGTAACATCTTGTTAGCATTGCCGCATCCCTGAAGCGACCTGTAATCAGAAGTATTACCGATATTAAATTGAACCCGAACTTCAAAACCGAAGGCCAGCAATATACAACCTATTTGTTATTTGAACACTTGAAGCTCGACTACAATTAACTACAATTTATATATTTGAAAATCATCCGGCATTAATTCTTTTTTAATATTTCTAAATGCGCCATGAGCTCATTTTGTCTGAATCACGGTGAACTTTGAATTTTATGTCGTTACCAGCTTATAAAGGCTTATGGTTAGCTAGTCATGGTTCTTGCGTGTGTTTATACTCCCAGAGACTCTGGCACATGGGGATCGACGGAGCCCGAAGTGATTGGAGTTTAAGTTATTCTGCATCGTCGAACCATTTGCTGTGACTTCGCCCTTATTCTCCTCAGTAAGATTCGAAAAAAAGGAAACTGTCTACTAAAACTGACAGAACACGAGTAAAAAACAGCGACTATCCATGGTGATGCGCCATGCACCCAACCCCATCTGAAATTGACTGATCCATAGACGAAAAATGACTGCCATCGCTTTTAGGTTGCTGCTTTTGACTCTTGTTCTAGACGCTTCATTCGATCAGGATACCCGATTCACGAATAACTCAAACTTCCATACGCTACAAGTTCAGGCCAAATCTTCGAAATACAAGAACCAATAAAGTAAATCGACGTCAAGCAGAATATTCGTATTCTCGCTATATAAATTTGCATAAGATACACTGTAATCCTGGTTTTCACCATTATAATTTGTGGCTGTTAACTATGAAATGCATTGATTTATAGTTGACTTCCATAAAAATGGATGCACCTAAGAAAGTGAGACGTATTAGGAAAATAGCTGCAGTTAGAATTCATATCACAATTATCTACAACTAATAATCATGCGAAGTAAAAGAAAAATTTGATTACACAGCAATTTTTAGATCATTGTGATTAAGATCAAAAGAATAGCATATTAGTAAATAAAAAGCACAGGTAGTAACAGATGAGTATCATACACGGAATCAAATCAAACAAAATTGAGGAAACCGGCGTACAGATAAATAAGTCCTTAGCAAGACTCATAATATGTGTATTACCTTGAAACGTCTATTGAATGCTTGATATTGTGTGTTTTTTTTTCAAACGAAGAATGTTTGAATTAGGGAAGAACTCCCACTTGAAGACAAATGACTGCGTAGGGCGTCAGAATAATCACAGGAAGATGGAAGAAAAAATCAAACAAAAATTAGTGCTATATTTCCAATAAATTTGTATATAACAGTTATGTTTGAGTTGAAGATCAACACATCAGGGTTCCTATTGCGAGGAAGATTTCATGAGATGTCAATACAAAATTATTACCATATATGTACAAATTGGAAACCATCACACACTATCAACAAAATGAAAAATTAAACGAGCTGAGGTCAACGAAAATATGACAACTATGACACCTTAGCCTTGCCCGTGTGTATTTAACCCATCGACAACTAATCTCGAACTTTCGGCATTTCAAACACTTGAACATGCTCTCGTTCGCCAAGCTCTTTGATTCCCTGAGGGGTGAAGAAGATGAATTGATTGTGCGAGTATTGCTCCGTAGCCAGTTTGACCAGTAAATCCATAATAACCTGTAAAGAAAAGTGAAGAAAGCGAGAAACAAGCTTTATAAGTTCTACACTCACGCGTCTGTTGATCATATCCATGAAGACGTCAAATTCGTCCATACATCTGAACGGCGCTTCCATAATCTCCCATAGAGCCATGATGAAACATGCTGTGGTGAACGACCTTTCGCCACCAGAAAGACCTGAATTACCTAATCGTAAGATAATGGAATCTTGGAAAGGAAAAATAAAAAGAAAAAACGTCGGAATAAACAATCTGTATGAAGAAGTGCAGATGTATAATATGTACAATTAAGGTTCGTGGCAATTTGATAGCCGGATGAAGAAATGGAATTATAGACCGATATCACACTACGCAATTGCAAAAGAGCCCACCTGTTTCAAGAATAATTTTAGATTCTATGAAAATTCTACATATGTTAAGTAAGAGGAGGTATCATCGCTAAGCAATATCTTCGAATTTCAGCCTTGTTAGGATTCATCACTTTCAACCCATAGCAACTATGCGGGCCCATTGCTTTGGTCACATCTGGTCATCAGATATTTATCGTGGTGCATGAGTTGTACCTTTCAGATCCTGTACAACACTTTTCGTGACCGTCTCAGCATTATCATCTTTCTGATGAGTTGCCACACTAATGTTGATAACTTCCTTTTGACGATCAACTGCCAACTTGCCATGATATGACCTGTAACCAAAATAATGTTGCTAACTATAACAATACTTAATACGAATGTTATCAGAGTACCTTACTCAATTAATATTTCGACAAAATTAGTAATGATCACATATTCATTTCAAAACTTATTCGTTTCAAGGCCTTACCTGGTGGCCATGAGCCTTTGAAATGTCATCTTCAGCCGCATGGTAATCGCATGGCACATGATCGGAAACTTTTCCTTACGTATTTTGAGACACTCCGAGAGCTTCTGAAAGAAACTGACATGTCAGAGTTGTGAAAATTGAAGCTTCAACAAATACGTACCCTGTTCAACGCCTTCAACTCCAGATATTGTTTCTTTGACGCTTCGTAGCTGTCTTTGAACGCCTGGAGCTGTTCTAGAGTGATTGTTCTGCCGATACTAAAAAGTAAGGCGATCGTACCTAATTCAAGAAAAGTCCAAAAACTTGCCGCACTTACACTTTTTCTGCCGACTCTATTTTAAGCGTTAGTGTTTTATACTGCTCATCGAGTTCAGCCGTATCAGCAAGCTGTTCCATATCAGGTGGACTCGACATTGACGATGGTGTAGGAAGTTCCTTACTTCGTTCAGCCTCAAATAGCGAACGCTTTTCTAGTCAGCCAGCAAGGTGTAGCAGATTGCATACAGAAGAAGCAGGAAAGCTTAGATTTCCAAACATAAGACTGCCGTAGGTGTTTTGTGAAGGGAAAATTAGATATCTGCAGCTGCCTACTCCCAACCATTGACTATGAAATTTCTTATGCAAATTTCTGGCAATATTTGTTCCAATGATGATAAATCAGTGAACTTACCAGGAAAGGCATTCAACTTCCCATGGAACTTTGAGATGAGACCCAGATATATCGATAGAGCTTCAAACGCTGATTACAAATATGGAAACTAAAACTGCAAAATGAACCTGCCAAGGAAGTTGTGAGCAGTCAAAGTTGGCTGGAAGTAAAGCATTACACTAGCCTCCAGGGCTTTCAAAGTCGCCGTGGAGTAGTGGTAGTGCTCTCGGAATTTGCACTCCAACGGGAGGAGAGCTTATGACCTCCAGGGTGAAGAGCGAGGGCACCACCACTGCTCCGCGGCGACTCTGAAAGCCTGGGTGCAGCACGGTTCATGTGCAGTGCTTTACTTTAGCCAACTTTGACTGCTCACAACTTCCTTGGCAAGTTCATTTTGCAGTTTTAGTTTTCATATTTGTAATCAGCGTTTGAAGCTCTATCGATATATCCGGGACTCATCAAAATTTCAATGGAAAGTTGGGTATGCCTTTCCTGATTAGACAAAATTAGCAGACGTGTCTGACTTGCTTCTCACTTAATGGGATGCTGCTAGGCGTATACTATGTATATACTAGATGTTTCTGTACGCATTCAGGTTTCTCGGGATGAACACCACAACAGTTCTAAATACTTCGCGTAGAATCTGCCAACGAAAAAACAGCACGTACCGTTTTTTCCGCTTCTTCCTTCTTCACTTCGAGTTCTCGTATACTTTCATCCATTATTCGCCGCAAAGACTGAAAAATTAATAAAATGTTGCACGAAAATACTTAATCAATTCACTTGAGAATCGCGAATTTTTCAACTCAATTGCTCACGCTCGCGCCACTGTTCGATTTTTGTGGTTCAAGTTCCTTTCAGGTTTTTCTTCTAAGCACTGCGCACTTTCTATCTTGTAAGCTACACAAACACCTTACTTCACTTATTCTCAAGATTAGCGAAGCAGTACATATACCTACAATTATATTTTGGCAAAGAACTTCGAGAAAACTCAATTATTCCAAAGAGAGAGCAAAAAATCGTTCACAGGTCATTCGAAGATAGAAGAGAGGTTAGAGGTTCCGGATCGAGGCAAGCCAGGTTAGCTACCAACAACTTACTGTCGCCGAATCAATGTAGAGACACTACTTGGGATCGCTTTCATAGCAGTTCAAAGCATTCAACTCGCTAGATGTTTAAAAATATGTCGCTAGATGTTTAAAAATATCGGTATGAAGGGGAAATTCCTAACAAAATCAACACTTTTTTCCCACCAAGCTTCAAAAATAACAGACGTTTACGCAAGATGAGGTCTCTACTGCATGGTCAAAAAGATTAATTCTCAAAGAAGGTCAAGCTTTCACACTTTTTGGAGTTGAACGAATGATTACACAGCTCCTACGACTTCAGTTCGTCAGAATACTCCACCTATTAAGCACAGAGATCAGAGATCCAGAGAGAGAGAATCCGTTTCCTCAGAAGGCCGATGCCAGACTTTGCTAATTGAAGCGATTCGCAAAGTCTGTCATCGGTCGAATGCTTGGATGCGTCTGAGGACGCCTAATTACATGCGCAATTTCACCAAGACAATCAAAGATCTGCCGCTGGTGACAAAAGATTCCAATGCCCGGTGGGATATTTATAGTTTCATACCAATAATTTGTTCTTAACATACAGGATATAACCTGACGAGTTGTCAAGCAGATTTGAGTTCCTTCCAAGCTATTGAGAATTGCGCCCATTTTTCGAAGTAAACCATCAATCAACACAAAATAAGTAGAAAAATATAATAGAACACGTTGTACAAAAAGTGTCAGAGATTACGCTTAAACAACTATCAACTATCACCTCCTGTATTCTAGCTGCTCGTCTGGTGTCGGATTCAATGTCAGCCGCTATGCGTCGAATCTTCTCCTGCATTTCCACTTCTTGAGCCTGCAAATACACGGGAATTCAAAATTTCGACTATTCCAATTGGGACCATAAAGCGAGAAATAGTTAAAGACAATACAAAAAATATCGTCGAATAATTTATGCGGACCTCGAGCTCGACCAACTCCTTCTTGCCGCTGTTGAACTCGGCATCGACTTCTTTATAGTTCTTACTTACTTCCGTCAGCTCCCGTTGCTTCTGTGACATACTCTGACAAAAAAAGAATATCATCTTGATCGAAAACGTGTTTAGATAGTTTTAACGAGACGTTCATCAGGAATCCTTCTATCAAATAATGATTACAAAAAGATACAGAAATTAAAAAACAAAAGAACAGATTGATACGCTGTTTTTGAACAAAAACTGCTTTAGGACTGCTCAATTTCTCCGCTCTGAAATCCTCCGTCCAGCTCCGCGATCTGTGCGTTGATTTCATTCAAGCTAGCACGCTAAAAATCATGTGTACCAAAAAAAATTTATTGCTTCCTAGATGAGGCACACATCGCACTTTCATTCAGGATCGTAGCAGCCTTCAGAGATGTGATTTATTTATTTATTTATTTATTTATTACTATGCACTCGTAGGTGCACTACAACAATTCTTCAGGAACCAAATCAGTTATAAATCAGGAACATTGATTTAAAATAAAATCAAATTAGCACTATTTTACCCACAAGCGGGAAGTTTCTCCAGACACCATTCGAGTTGATGCCTAAACCGGTTGATGGGCTAAAAAAGGCGAGTAAGTCCAAATGCTTCAGTAAGTATTTGACGTAACACAATTGACACTGTGGCGAGTGGCGGGGGGGCAGTAAATGTTCAAGTTAGTGCTTTGCAATTAGTCGACCCTGGAGAGACGTAAGGCTTGGTTCCTAGACAAGATAAGAGCAAGTATGTTGTAATCAGACCGTATATGAGTAGTAAGCAGAGCCAGTTACCCTACATAACTTCTACCCCTAGGCTAGACCACTCTCAACGAACTTAAAAAAGTTTCCGCATCATGTACTCATTCTGCCTGGTAGGGTACTATTCTGTGATTCAGCCGACATTAAGGATTCCAGGAAATCTGGATTTTAAACTGACAAGGAGTATAAATGATAATCGGCCGCATTGATTATCTAGAATGAACCTGCACGCGACCTGTGATGATTCAGACGAGAGCCCCTCGAAGAACAAAAAAGATTGGAGAAGCGACTGAATCCCTAGCAGAAACTGACGAGCCCAGTATAATTCGGCACACCAATCCTTACAAATATTAACATTGTTCCACATACATCTAAAGGCAGAACCACACAAATAGCAAATCGATAACTATGAGCAAACAAAACTCGTGCTTTGAAACGCACCATATTGTCTACGACAGTGTAATCGTCGTCCATCTCGAGCTGCTCCAACCTTCGTTCCAACGATCGATATTGATTTCTTAGCCTGTTCAGATCGGTTTCTACAGCATTGTATTTTTGGAGAGCTTTGTCGAGCTCAGATTGCGTTCTACTCGTTTCGTTAGATGCCTGAATCGCTTCTGATAAAAGGGTATGCAAGGACAGAAGTGTGACACCTACCTTCTTAGCCTCTTCATGCAACCGAAGCTGCTCGTGTTGTAACCGCGCGAGTTCAGCTTTCATAGCGCTACAAAACAAAACATGTAATATAATCACAGTAAGAGCCCACTAATTTGCGACCGTCTTGCATTCGTTTTGCAGTTCTAGTGAAGATGCGCAACGCTCTCTTCACTAAAACTGCAAAACGAATGCATTATGCGGTCGCAATATCACATGAATGATAACTAAATACCTGCTACACGGAAAAAGGCAAGGTCGCAAACCATGACCCGGGTCTGAGGAAGAATTTCAAGAAGCAAAAAATAAGCTTACTCTACATCAGCCACAGTTGCTTGCTCCGAAAGCAGAACAACTCTCGGTGAAGATCGACAAGCATAGAAACGGTAAAAGCCTTCTCCACGTCGATTGCGGCCCATAGCCATACCGCCGGTTGCCGTGTAGGCACGGACACATTTTTCTGGACACTAAAGTATTAACATTCGTACATGCCAAAGCAATCACATTGACTGAAAACGTACTAGTCCATCCATGATACGACGAGCGTCTTCGTCTGATTTGAGAAGAACTGTGCCTTCTACGGTTGCCATATCGATTAAGACATTTCTAAACTTTTACCAATGTCACATTGTTCCAAAAGGTTGCACAGAAATGAATAACACAGTCACTGTGAAAAAATATATAACGAATTGAAAATCATTCAAAAACTATTGAAAGCTTCAAAAACGATGAAATTTATAATAAGTTCTTAATGAATCCTTCAGCACGTTTGGATAACAAAACATTGATAGACTGCACTGACCTGACTACCGGATACTTCACCTCAACCATGCGTAAGATGGTATCCCATTCAGATGACGGTTATATACTCACATCATGAGGAGGAACGTTGAATCTAAATTAACACACGTTCTGAAATTAGGAGCTTTCACGTGCATCTGTTAACTTACTTGGCAAATATTGCATTAGGCAATGCCCCGCTTATTCGGTTGTTCTTCATCAGGCGTTCAAAGATTTGATGGTCTCGCTTCGAGTTGAACACAAATGATGTCAACAAACGTCGAGTGGCTTCCTCAATAGCAAACGCCCACCTCCGGTCACGGACCTTGATATGCATTCCTGGAAAATGTTTTAAAACGATGATGAACATTTGACAGTAAGGAACGTAACGTTAACGTTTCAGCTATTTTTATCCCTCTGCACATTATTTATTTGAGGATGGATTCCTACCAAGTTTGGAGAGTGAGAGTAAAATATATATCTACAGAGGTGGCCAAACAAAGCACTTTTCAATTCGACATTTCAGACAGCGATGAAATCACCATGATAAATTCGAACCGACTGCTCCCAAATTAGCTTCAAAGAGCACATTCCAATCTATCAGCACCCGTTAAAATAGCTTTCTGCACCGAGGACATCAGAAGAATTTGCCATGGTAACCTTGCGCCCTGTTCCAGCTCAACTGTTCCTCGCGTATCATGTAACCTAGGGACGTTATTCTGACAACGCTGCTTCGCGAAGGGGTGCTAACGCAATATGTAGAGCTACTGTCCCTGAATCAACCGTCATTTAAGCGAATAAAGGGATTCCGCAGAAGATTCAGGCAGAAATGATTGTTTTAGACCATCTTGAGCTCAACGGTGATAGAAGATTACCGGCAATTGTTGCATGGAGCACAGTGAGGGCAGTTGGAGGAGGGCTGCTTATTCTTATGAGAGGACAGATCTAAGCAGGATCTGCGCTCCTATCGGTAGTTATTTTTCGAAATATTTTTACGACCCCCCTCCAACGTGGATTGATACGACCCCTTTTCCTACTCACAATCTCGTCTCCATCAGACCCCGTCAGTTTGTCGTCGAGCGGGGGTATATAGTCACTCTGAAACGGTAAATATCTCCGAAAATTTCCTTCTATTTCCACCATTTCAACCCATTTTTACCTATACTCCCACTACTTCCTTTTCTAGGGGGGGGCATATACGCCAAGCGAACTACACGAAACTTAGTTTTCACCTCATCCACACGGATTGAGCCGCCTAAAGGCTCGACCCCCCCCTCTCCAACACATCAACCAGGTGCGAGCTCCACGTTGTTTACGTCGTAACAAAAGTAAAAAAACTAAATTTTGGGGGCTTACTTTTTAAACTAAAAAAGGTTTATTAGTTTAAAAGAAAAAAAAAAAAAATTTTAAAAATAATTAAGAAAAAAAATAAAAAAAAGAACAAAAAAAACCCGTTGACCCGCCCATCTAAGGGATAATTTCCCTGAAAACGCTTCAACACCGAAACCTTTGCGATGCAAAGTTTGATAATGTGGCAAGAGAAAGTGTCTTATTTCTAGCAGTGGTACATTAGAATGCCGTCGCCCAACAAAGGAAAAACGAATAACTATTCTCTAAAGATAACACTTTCAAGAAAACCTACATCAGAAATGACAATTCCTAAACTTAACAGACAAAGAATATCTCAGACAACGAGACGCGAACTAGGTGAAAAAAGAGTCGCAAAGTTTTTTAAGCTTGCCGAACTGTATCCGCTCAGAGAGCTGGGAACAAAACTTCGACTAACCAATAGGCCCTTTTGGCACATGTTCGAACCTTTCGGCATTTGCGTTCATCACCTCCAAGATTCTCGGCACATTCTCACCGAATCTGAAACCAGGATTTCAAGATGGCAAATATTTGATAAATACAAATGAACAGGTAGAGTACAGGGCAGGGCGTCATTTGCAGAAGACATTCAAATGTTCAACTTTCCTTTGAAGCTAATTTACGCCTTCTAAGGCTGGGCTGGATACGCGAGAAGCCGAGGAACAATTACTCGAAGTTGGGTAGGCGTGTCACGGAAGTGACGTGCACTTGATAGAAACTATGTGGATAAGCTGCTTCCAACATACATCGCTGGATATCAGCAAAGCATGCTGGCAACAGCTTATCCACGCAACTTCTATCAAGTGCACGTCACTTCCGGTGACACGCCTACCCCAACTTTCGGATATCAACTGTGTGTCGAATGATTAGAAACCGTTCAATATCGGTGATGTTTAGATCATTTTTATTGCTGGAAGCTCCTCACACTTCACCACGCGAATGACTCAAAGATTGTCAAGTTATGGGCAAAACATTCAACTTCAGCTTGAAATCTGTCCCGAACTATCCTTCTATTATTATAAAGCGCTAACTTTGTGTGTCGGTTTGTGTATCTGTATGTGTGTGTGTGCGTGTGTGTGTGTGTATGTATGTATGTGTGTCCGTCCGCAAAATGAAGTGAGTGAGAAGGAAGCTCATGGGATAAACAAACCGCTAACAAATCGGGTAGCTTACAGGATTTGAGATATCAATGTTTTGTAGCAGGATAGTTGTGATAACACTCTTAGGGCTATATAAACACCTGCTTAGCACACTTCCGTTCATTCCACATGGTGCTGCAGTGGCAGCTGGAGGGCAGTGGAGAGAGGAAGGGAGGATGAGGAGGGAAAAAAATCTACCGTCATATCATGATTGTGTCCCTTCTACTGTATGAAACACCATTGTGTTGCATACGCGTCACTTCCAGAGGTGTTGGTGTCACAGGAGGAAGGGACCATAGCGGAGGATAGAAAGCTTGCGCAGGAAAGGAAGGTCCCGGCGGTTGACGGGGGACTAATCTGGTAAATATATTAAGAACATGCAGCGTTGTTATTCTTTATAAGTACTAGCGCTCACAAGCAACATTCAACGACAAGATACCACTACCTCATCAATGCATTGTTGGCTGTCATCTCACTCCGATGGATTTCTTGCTCTAACTCCCTTATCTTCCCAGGGATCCGACGAGCTTCTCGAACGATCTTAAAGATTATTTCCAGTTGAATCCAGGAGTTAATCAATAAAGAACTCGGTAAGCAGCCTAAGTTATTACGACTCCCGACATGGTTACCTCGTCTACGCTTGTAGAAGCTTGCTCAATGTGATTTCTGAAGTTCATCGCGCTCCTGCTGTGCTAAGCGGTAGTGTTCTAGGACCTCGGACTCCTGTAAAAACTCAGACAGATTAGAGCACTCCATCAACTGAAAAGAAAGGACAGATTGGAGCAGTTCGTAAACTAAAATGAAATGAGGAAATATTCAGAAATAAACATTTTCTTCCTACTGACAATCGTTCTCTGACTTGGTCGAGCACATAAGAAAACAATAAATAAATTACGTAAATAGTGAATGATATTCGAGTTGAATGACGATAAGTTTAATAAAAGCGACACTAATAAAAGGACGCTGCTTATCGCAACACAAGATACCGCAATTCTTTTCTCTGATCGGGTGAAATAAAGTGAGGAAAAAGAAGATTCTTATTAATCTTTTATAAATTCTTTGTCATGGGAGCCACAAAACGTGCTTTTTTTAGCCAGGTATTAAAGAATGAAATGAAATATAACCAACTTTCTCATTGATCTTTTCCATCTTCTTTTTCGTGAGAGCCACCTCTTCTTTTCGTTTCTCACACTGTGACTCCTCTTCGTAGCTTGCAATTTGCTCGACCAATCGGTCGCGTCGTTTCTCCAGTGATCTAAATGGTGAAAACGAAGTGTTGTGTCTATAAACAAAATTTGAAAAAGCTAGTTGAAGATTGAGAAAAACAACAAATTAACGAAAGGTTAAGAAACCAGAGAAAATAACGAATTTGTAGATTTTAATCAAAGACCGGATACAAAAAAATAAACACTCACACGCGACTAGCTTCTAGCGCTCGTTGCTTCGAATCTTGACCACCTAAGTCGCTCTTGAGATTACTAAACAGAGTTCAGAAATTTAGCACATTAGCGGCTGCACATTGCAAGTATTACAAACCTTATCGTTGCCTTCAATGAACTCATCTTTTCTCTCGAACTCCGAAGGCCGCTGCTCTTCTTTTCTAGTCGATTCCGTAGCACGGATGCCTGGGTGGCGCAGTCCTAAAATATTAAGCTGCATTGCATTTCTTCGATTTTAACACATTGCGTACCGCGTGCGCCACATGTGGCGCACGATTTCGCACGAAACAGCATAGTTTAATCTGATTTATTTGACATTTTTCAATGCTCATGAACTGGTTGCACTCATTTTCAGAGCCTGGAAACCATACGTGTCATCACTGATAAAATTGTTGATAGATTAATGATGATACGTTTTTGAAAAATATAAAAAAGCTACGAAGGTGCTCATACAACGGCGGTCCGCAATGTGTTAATGATTACACGTGGTGATTCCAAATTTTGAACAAATAAAAGAAACGGAATGAAAAACAAACAGGTGAAAAATAGTATGCATCATCTGAATGGATAGAGATGAAACGTCAGCATATTTTTTCACTGCATCGAAAAACAAAATAAAGAAATGCCAAGAAAAAATCAACACTGTAGCCAACCTCTTTCTTGGACTTGCCCTCCTCGATTCCCTCCTGGAGTATTCTCAGCTCCTTTTGAAACTTCTCTCGCTTCTTCTCAATAACTTGGATCTCCTGGAAAATTATAACACATATATGGCAACAGGGACAAATTTATTTCGTGGAGATTGGCCTACCTCAAGAACATCCCTCAATGGGCACCACAATAACATCCATCCAATTTCACTCTGCTTATTTCGCATCTCCTGTATGGTACGCAGTCTTCGACGCTCTTCCACCATTGACTGATATTCTCTTAACATAAACCCATTTAAATCCGTTCGACATAATGAATCTGCTCAATTTTTTTGTGAAAGAAAACAATGTCACCGGAAATTCTACCTCTTCTGTTTCTCGAAATCAGATTTCATCGATTTACACATAGCTCCTATAGAAGTAACAATTTGTTCGCACTTTTCATAACATTCCTTAGTGTGTTCAAGTTCAGTGGCATGCATGAAGATCTGAAACAAAAATCATAGATTCAAAGCAGTAATCAACTTTAGCTCGTGTATCTACACAGGAAAGAACCCGAGTGATTCTAACTTGTTCACGCACACATGCCAACCAGAAACCTACTGTTTATAGGTCTGAGATGACCTACATTAAACATTCTCTAGAGGTCAAACAACGAATTGTTCTGAGCACAAAACTACCTTGTATAATCGATCAGGTTTCATTTGCTGCAAAAAATGCCGAGACCTATCTTGACTCATCCAGAATATAGGATTGCTAAGCTGGATACCATACCGAATCCTCAGCTGATCCAAATCAGTTTTCTTTTTTGAAACAACCCTCTCTGAAACAGCTTCCTGCAATAACTTCTCAACAATAGAGCAGTAAACAAATACTGCCACTCACCATGCTGGTTTCTACCGGAGCCAGTAATACTTTTGAGGATGTAAGTCGAGGAAGATGGAGTGATTGTTCGTTCAACTACTACGAAGTCTCCGTAGTCCGGGTGGCTTCCCAATCCTCTATTTGTCAAAATTAATCGAATTTTGGCCTTGCTGAAATGAAAACAAAATCCTGACATAAAAGTAAAGAGAAAGGATAAAAGTGAGTAAGAAGATCTTTAATGAGCTATGAAAAAGGCTTTGTTTATCGAAAACCTCAAAATTAATTCTTCTCACTCAATGAAAAAAGACAAGAGCAACAGATTCAGCCTGATAGTAATGTGGAAAAAGATCAGTCACTAACATACTGTCTGATCCGTGCTAAAGTACTAACAAATATTGCAAATCAGTAAAAAAAAGGATCCTCGACCATTAGAATAGCTTCAAAAAATCAAGCAGGAAGATTTCTGTATGTGTCGTATTATACATATGGTCATAAATTCTTCGACATCTCGAAAAGGCCTTTCACCAATTTTTCTGTATTTACAGCTTTTTTAATCAAAAATGATATAAGTAGAGGAAATATTTTCAGAGAAACTGAAATTACAAAAAAGTATATTTGCCACTGAAGAAAAACAAGTACATATAAATCGCTGACTTACTTTTTACCTTCTTTATGTAAGGTTTTCACGGATGGTCCACGGTCATTATCGTTTCCTCGACCACCGAGGCCTATATTCAAGGAAGCAAAAAGGGCGCTTTTACCACCTTAATCACATGTACTCTGTAGGCATGAACGACATATCATATAACACAAAAGGCAACCGAACTCACTTCCGTTTGGTCCCCCGATGTAGAAGCAGTTGTTATTAGCGGTATCAAAATCGACTTTTAGTCGACCATGGCACATAAAATTTTCTAGTTCTACGCCAGCGACACGGCCAGCAACTTCCAAGAAACCTGGAAAAATTATTTTCCACAAAGTAAACTATGAAAAGTCATGTAAAAAGACCAGAAAAGTAAGAGACAAGAAAAGAACATTTGGTTTAAAGACGAAACACCACAACTACTTACCCCTACCTAAATCCTTGGGTAACTTCAGGTGCAGCGGCTGCAGACCTCATTACTTTCCTACTAATTTGCGAGTCAGCATTGTGATGTGGTCGCTTTCTTCGTGGACTATGGAAATGTTGATTCTCTACATCCGCATCCACTTCCATCTCCTCTTCAACCTCAGCCATCTAGCTGGCCGTTTCACTACCAAAAAACTGGAAAACAATTAGTGAAATACGATTTCTACAAAACGTCTTACGCGAAACGCTGAAAGTAGACAGCACTTTAATTCATTATACTGAAGGAAACAACCAAGCGAAGCCATTAATATGGGCACTATAGTCGAAGTTCGATGTACAACAGCAGTCAAAAGCATTTCCCGAAACGGTTTCCTATGTTTTTTTTTTTCACTGCTAACTAAAATTCGAGTGAGTTGATAACGACTCGTTTACTTGCTCCTATTCTTCCTCTTCTGTAAAAAATGCACACACCCAGATCTCCTTCCCCTCCCCGCTTAAAAAAATCCTTCATCCTCTTTGCTTCTCTTTGCTGCACTGCGTCAAATTGCTCCTTCCTTCTCTTTGACAGCGCCCACGTTAAACAAGCTTTCCATCTCTCCGGTGATGGAAAGTCATAAGGAGCATCATTGTAATACAGTAGCGGTCAAAAGTCTTCGCCGAAATTGTTTTTCGACTGTAACTTTTTTTCCGCTGAATCAAATCAATTCAAATTTTAATATGTTTTAGAGATAGTCCTACTTCACTTAAACGGCATATTTGTTTCGGATTGAGAGAGAATTAAGAATGGAAAAAATCATTTCACTAGAAATTCTCGCGTATGAGCAAATTCCAAGTAGGTTTCAAATTACTCTAGCAAGCTTACAATTCAACAAAACAATCTTACGCATGATGAATAACACTGGGCAGGTCCAATACTTTGTTAATGATCTTCTGGGTACGCTGAAATACTAACAAGGCCTAAGTAAGGAATCAGTCATTGAATGCACTGTCTACTAGGGCAGCTTCCTCCACTTCTCTTGAAATTTGACGAGTTTCTCGCCCATATTTCCGGCTCTTATTTCCACCAAAGGTATCCCTATCTTTCCCATAATGTTTCGATGGCGCTCAGGACATTGGTGTGAATTGTTCCCTTCGTTGAAAGCGCGCCATGCTGGCGAAGCCACTCCTTCACAGTAAAGGTGCGATGCTTTTGGTCGCACTAATGCTAGAAGGCGAGCTCAGTTTTGACCAACTGTCATACATGTGGATAAGAACTCCTTCTAGAACCCAACTGTATAGGCTGCCTTCACATGATTGCGAATACTGCGAAGTTAGTCGGCGGTGAAATGGTCGGGGGCGAAATGGGCTTACGCACACCTAAAGTGGGGATCCCCATAGGGCTACAACGTCCTGCGGACCAACGAGAGTGTAATTCAAGATGTTTGCCGGCGACTGAAATAGGAATGTGTGCGGTCCTGAGGGAAAACGTTTCGATCCAAGGAATTAACTGCCGTATGTAAAACTTGGCGGAGGCTCGCGTGTGGTAGTCCGTAAAAGAAGTTTTACAACTGCACAGGATTAGAGAAGTGGAGGATGCCGACGTATCAGATAGATTCTGGAAGGAGTTTCGTATTCGCTCGTATGAAACTGTACGTGACTGAGTTCGCCTTCTAGCTATAGAGCGACCAAAAGCATCGCACCTTCACTGTGAAGGATTGGTTTCGACAGCATGGCGCGCTTTCAACGAAGGGAACAATTCACACCAATGTCCCGAGCGCCATCGAAACATTATGGGAAAGAGTAGGGATACCTTTGGTGGAAATAAGAGCCGGAAATATGGGCGAGAAACTCGTCAAATTCAAGAGAAGTGGAGGAAGCTGCCCTAGTAGACAGTGCATTCAATGACTGATTCCTTACTTAGGCCT